TCCCCATGTAAAGGGAAAACATCCAATCACCCATCTTTTGAACACGTGGTCATAAAGCAAATATTCGAATACACACAAATCATCTGGTGATCACACGTATCAATCTAAGTTAAGTTTAAGGAGAGTTGAACTTGGGATGTAGTGCTAGCGTACATTTCACTCCCCATGTTCTAAGTCAAGTCATGCTGGAATCTGCCTAGGTGGTAGGGAAATAAACATGTGAAGAAAAAGAAAGAATACTTACAGGAAAAGATGGCCAAAAAAATTTCCTTGGTGCCTGTATTGTTCATGTACAGATCACCATGAGAGAATAAAACAATTAAACATAGTAAAAAGGGGAAATTTAAACTGGAAATAACTCCATTATGCTTGGCAACAAGTTTGTTGTTAGAGTATCTCCAAGGGGACTATCCAAAATAGCTACCCAAAATAAATTTAAATATTGCATTATCTATTTTAACTAATCACTTTTACAATTTTGTTCCAACCACGCTATCTATTTTAACTAATTATTTCAACTAATTTAACTAACTTTTAATAATATAATTAAAAATTATATTTTAACATCCATTCCAATCTCTGTTTTTGTGTTTGGTTGTCCACAAGTGGGCAACAAAGCTTTCAACGAAAAACTCAAGTAATTTCAAAATTTGAAAGTGCTTTGGATTTTTTTTTTTTTGGAGGGGAGGGGGGGTTTGCTGGATTTTTTAAGGGATTTTGTTGGATTTTTGGGGGGTTTTACTAGATTTTTTGTTTTGTTTTGGGGGACGAGGGATTTGTTGAATTTTTGAAGGGTTTTATTGGATTTTTCTTCCTCTTAGAACTGTTGACATTGCTCGTGTGTAACACCATTCAATCTTTACACTCAAAAGCCCTGTATTTGTATATGTTGCAATTGCTGATCTTGGGTAATTAACCAACCAAAAACAGAGTAAAATAGAAACTTGGGATTTCAATACCTATTATTTTGGCCAATTGAATATCACAGCGGTTGATTGATGATTCGACAAAACTTGATGGTTAAAGCACAGTGATTTTCACACATATCTTCGATCAAAATTCTTCAAATTCTGGCGCAAAAGAAAAACATGAAATTTTGCAATTCAGTTCTTTTTATGATTCTTCTCCAACAATTCGATCGTTGTTTGACGATCGACCGATTTGTGTTTTCGGTAGGATTTTTGGTGAATTTTTTATGGAATTTCAATGAATTTTTTGTGGGTTGTCCTGAATTTTAAGATGGATTTTTGGCGCAAAGAAAAAATAGATAGGAAGATCGCTCGTTAGATGAAGCAAGTGAAAATGGGAGAGGTAAAATAGCTGGCGTAAAGAGTTCGTTGGAGCAAAATTTTTAGGATTCGCTATTCAAAATAGATAAAAAGACAATTTTTACCGAACACGTTGAAATTGCTCTTACACAATAAAGCGTTCTGGGAGGATGCGCCTGCAAGCATATCATATGACCTATTAAACTGAATTGATCTGTCTTTTTGTACTCTGTCATATATTATATATTATTCACTTTAAAATCATATCAGAGGCTCGTTTAGTTTATCAGTTGTGTCACTTCATTGGTTGAACCAGACAGGAAAATTAATACCATTATTCCTTGAGGATTGAGTTGTTGGAACACAGTGTCCCTCCCATAATGTTATAGGTTCCAATAAAAATCGCCATCAATTTTGAGGATGGTAGAATTTTTTTACTAAAAAATAATTTTTAAATTACCCATACGGGACACAGCGACAAATTAGACAAAATTTCACCAAAATAAAAAAAAAAACTAATATATTTTGAAGTCTATCGATAAATCATTAGTCCATAATTTCTTTCAAAATTACCTCCTCCCAAATCTGTCCAACCCACTACTGTAAACTCTTTTACAGATTAAGTCAAAATTACCCCATTAGTCAATAACTGAACCGATTACTAGGTAAAGGTGAGCAGAAATCAGACCAACTCACCCACACAGACACATATTTTCATTTTTCGATTTCTTACCGCAATTGGTGGATGCACTGAATGGCGCTACAAGAATGGAGCAATAACCCAGGTAGCACCATGTCTGATTCACTCCATAAAGGTAGCAATCCCGCCCCTCGCACTTCTTACATTGAACTGTAACCATGAGTGCTCAAATCCATATGCCATGGCGTTATGGATGTCTGAAAAAGAGAGATTACTATTATCCTTAAATGGCAATGATGTCATCGCAATTACCTCCAAACTACACCTCTATCTTACTTCTACCGCCATCAATGGCCCAACCTTAACATAAGAGGAGGATAAAGGGGAGTTTGTCGGATAAACTCCATTGACACGGGGAGAAATACCCTTGTAATTAAGAGGAGAATCAACAGGATATGGACAACTGATCAAGGTAATAGGCAAATTTATCTTCTCTGGGTACCTTCCCCACTTGTAATTTTCAAGGCTATATGGATCTTTGGGAGCGAAGGTTAATGGATACCGAGGAAGGAAGGAGCAATTATCCTTTTTTTTTGTACAACGGAATCAACAAGGCGGATTGTAAAGTTACGATAGTTGATAGAATTTATGTTCATGGGAGCCCAGGTATAAAACAGTGATATTGTGTTCACAAGCAAGCTCATATTTGGGGTGGCCACAGTTTTTTGGATCGTCTTTTAATCGGAAAGGGTAACTAATGTTATTGATATTGCCGCGGGAAGAAGGGTGACAGTAAAGATTTTGCTTTCTCCTGCAACTTTGAGGGAAGTAGATGAGAACAAGGACTCTGAAACCCACAACAATCAGATTTTCTCTCGACTTGGAGAGAACAGGGCCCATGAAAACTAGGCCAGAAGCGTTGAATGGGGCCTATCAAAATTTATCAAAAAAACAATATATTATATGATTAAAAAAAAAAAATTTCATTTTTTGTGATGCAAAATTAGTAATCAAATTTTTATATTTGAGTTTTGCTCGAATATTTTTTCAATGGATAATATAACTAATTCATTCAATCTTTCTTGTTCTATAGTTGATCGTAAGTAGAACTTTATGAGTTTTAATTTTGAAAAAACTTGACATATTTCAAACTAAAAATTCTTGTGACTAAAATATATTTTAAAATAAAAAATAATTATACTAAGAGAACAATCTAATATCTTATAAAAGTCAATAAGAATTAAACACAATATCACCTGATAAATAAAAATTGTATAAGATTTGAATTGACAAGTTGTTCGCCTCTTAAATCATCTACTATTTCAAACTTTCGCAATAAAAAAGAATAATTGTATTAAATTAATCCTATTAATAAAAATATTAAAAAATTAAATTACTAATCAAACAAATATGTATCTTTTCAATTTTGTTTAGATTGGAAAAGAGAGATACATAATTATGTTATATGAACTTTTTTTACTTGGGGGGGGGGCAAGAGGGAGAGAGAGAGTAGACTTTTAGGCTTTAATTGTGAAAAATTAAATTTTGCTTTTTTTTGGAACTTTCAAGTCTTTTAACCATTGAAAAAAGTGAGAGAAAGATGTGAATTGGGTCTTTGTTTTAGTCTAAGCCTTGTAAGAATTTTTATTAAAGTGGGCCTTTAAACCAAATTTTTGGGCCAATTTAAATTACAATTAAAAACTATTCTTATTATTTGTAAGCACTTTTGTTTTTTTTTTTTTTTTTTGAGGCCCAAGCAGTTGCTTAAGTGGCCTTTCTACTGGACCAGTCCTAAGAGAGAGAGAGTTTCCAACAAAAACCAGAAGCAAGCTTTCAGAGGAGAAAGAAGAAGAGGGGTAATGAAGACGTAAAGTTTAAAAAACAAACTTTATGTGGAAGACAGTATTATTTATATTTTTCTTCTCTTTTTTATTTATATTGTTTTGGATTAATAGTACTTTTTGATGATGCACAAATTGATTTTATGCACTACCGATCGAGTGATTAGTAATTAATGCAGTAATTAAGTGGAGAGAGAGTAACTCAAGATAGACAAAGATATAGAGTGGTTCGGTCAACGTGACCTACATTCACTGTGAAGGGCTAGGGTCATCTAGGTATTTTACTCATTCGAGGAGTGTAGGGGTAAACAGGGAGATATGAGAGACAAGGGAGAGTGATAGCAGCTGTGCTCGATTATGTGTGATACCCCCTAAGTGTTGGTGGGGCTTACAATTTATAGTCGTATCCTAATAGATTGAAGCAGCTTATTAGTAACTAAAAGACTAATTTGGTGAAGCTGATGCCATTTTTTCAACGGATGAAGCAGTAATGGCACTCTCCATAAGATTCGGTCAAAGGATGACGTGATGGTTGACTTCTTCCAAGGCGGTATGGATAAGGCTCTTTATTGCCTCTACTTACTCCCTTGGTGATATAGTTCCCCAAAAATCTGATGAGCTTGATTGGGTGTGGACCTCCCTTGTGCAGGACCCATTAGATCTCTTCAAGTTGGGTTCTTTATTCAGACTAGACTTATAACATGAGTTGGGCCCTTAGGCCTGACCCATCATTTGCCCCCCAATGCTCTATGTCCAATGAAACTTGGAAAAAAGTGCATTCGGTGGAGCCTGGATTTCGGCTGAACCCAAAACTAGAAAAATTTTGAAAGGCCCAAACATATGTTTTCAGGCCATTTTTGGGCTTGTTATGAGCTTCGATTTGATATATTATAGGTCTCATTTGGAGAAACTGATCAAAAGCTATGGTCAAAACAGTGTCAACCCTTCTTGGACTTGGATTTCCTGGAGACTCCTTTTGAATGACGACTCATTTCCTTCCTAATTTGTAAACTCCTTTTGCATGTAGGACATCTTCAACTATATAAACTCCTCATTTTACTTCCCTTTTTGGATTCTAGAAGAGTCCTAGGTTATAAAGTGGGGGTTTCTCCTTTGTTCCTCATTTCATCCATCTTGAGAGAAAGGGTTTCTAGAGAGGTGCTCAAGAAGGAAACTAAGGCTAGTGGCTTTACTTTTGAGTTGAGTGCCCAAAATTAGGTGTCGAGTGAAGGAGAAAAGATCCCAAGGGAAATGAATGCCGGTGGGAAATCAAGGAGTGGTGGAGTTGTAGATTTTGATGTCAAAGAGGCCATGGATATCGGTGAAGTGAGGATCCAAACATATGAGGCAGCCCAGGCGACATACGCTAAGAATGGGGTACCCCAGGCAATGAGAACCACAGGGATGGCGACCCAAGAGCTGGGCGTCAAGGAGTCGTCGTCGCTAGGTGCCGATGGCAGACGGTGCTGTTGTTCAAGGAGGGAGCTTTGTGAGGGAGACACCGATGGGCTCTATCGGGGCTGAGAACTTCTCAGATCTGGATCTAATTTGTGGGAGTCATAGAGGCAAGGTGCTAAGGTTGCGACTGGGATGCATGATCGAGCAGAGGCTCCACGGGCGAGCTCCCATAGACGTCTTTGAGAGTGAGGCGCCATGGGCGCCGCTGATTGGAGAAAGTGCACATTGTAGCGGAAGCACTAAAGGCAAGGCTCTGTTCTAGGGACCTGAGGCAGCCCAAGTGGGCGCTGAAGACCAGGCAGCCCAAGTAGGCGACGAGGACGAGGCAACCTAGGAGTTGGGCGAGGAGCTGCTGGCAACAGGCAAGATGCAGCTAGCGACGGGCGCTGACGATGGAGTGGGACTCCGGCGCACTGCGCAAGGAATGGTGAGTGCTGATATGGCCTCGAGAGACACTGAGCTTGGCCAGGTAAATGCGTAGGCGACACTGAGGGCCACTAGGCATAGTCAAGCAATGTTGTGTACAGTTAGGTCATCGTTGCTGGGTAAGCCAGGTATGGTAAAGGTGGACACTGGACATGGATCTCCTAGTAGTGGCCCAGACAATGCTTCTCACTCTCACAACAGTAAATATCGAGGGAAAGCGGCTCTTGATGATGACGGATCGAAAGTAAGTACCATTTTCTAGTACTTTCAATACAGACGCTGATATTTTGTAGATTATCTCCGCTTACCACATTATTCCAACGGTATTATGCCATCAAGCAGAGATGGGCGAGCCTGTTTGTGATGACTCCTCTAGACACATTACCATTTATGAGGAGGTGCTTGAGGCTGGGCTAAGGTTCCACATGTTTTTCTCTGTTTGTCGCATTCTTTATTGTTTTTCACTAGTGCTAGGGCGGTTGGTGCCCAATGGTTGGAGAGTTTTGTTGGGGTTTCTAGCACTGTGGAGAAAGGTGCATCATGAGGATGTTTCTCTTGAAGAGTTCTATGCAGCTTATACTTTGAGTGAGACTCCTACTCCTAATCATGGTTGGTACTACTTTGCTCCGAGTAGAGGTAAATTGATTATCGATTTGTGTGCTAACTGCCATAGTTGGAAGGCTCACTTCATGTTTGTTGGAGGAGAGTGGGCATCAGAGGCTGATAGAGCTTTGGTACCAACAAGATGGGACGCTGCCAAGAGAATTTGTACGCCTACTCTTACTCTTTATCCTTTGTCTTTTTTGTAAATATGTACTCATCACATCCCTTCCAGGTTCTCGAGTACTCTCAAAAGATCAAGAATGGAAGTTGTAGGCTATGAGGGCTCACCCTGTGAAGGACTTTGGAACTCTCATGCTCAAAGAGAGCAGAGCTAGAAACTCTTCTACTGGCGGTGCTAAGGTTGATGCACCCTCTCCCAGGCCTAGTGGTTCCTCTTTAAAGAGAAAGGGTATTCTGATTCCGTTGTATTCTCCTTCTTTACTTGGTTTTTCATCTGGATAACACTTTATCTCTCATGTAGTGGATAGAATGGTGGTAAAGTCTCATTATTCCACTAGGAGTACTCCTCCTCCTAAGGTGGCGAAGGTGAGTGATGCTTTGGCAAACCCCTCTCAGATAACCCCTCCAGTGGCGTCTCCTCAGTCAACGACTCCTTCAGAGGTGACCGTCACTTCAGAGACTCCCCTGTCAGCGAAACCTGTTGCCCCTCGTTCATCGAATCCTCATGTGGGAACTTCTATAGGAGCACTTGCTCATATTAGCTCCATGTTGGGTGATGTGCAAGTCGTCAGGGAGTGACTTAGGAGGTTTGTGTTTTCGGCAGATATTAATGAGATTAGTGTTCGGGGCACCGAGAGTGTCGTCGACACTTTTCTAGAAGGTCTGACTCAGGTAAAGGTCTATTTTTTCCCTTTCTCCAGTCCCTCTTTAGGCACTAACATTCTTTTGCCTTTTTTAGGTTTCAACTGCCTCTGTGTGTCTTTTTTCAAGAGCTGTTCAATTTAGCCAGCTGAAGTAAAGTCATGAGTCTATGCAAAAGGAGCTTCTTACTGTTCAAGGGAGGATTGTTGAGCTTGAAGCTGATGGTAGGGCTTCCCAGGCTGAGCTTGTGGTAATCCATGAGAGGGTCGTGCTTAGAAAGGTTGCTTGCATGAGGGCTAAAGCAAAGCTTTTGGCGACCTGCAAGAGGGCAACTAAGCTTGAGGCTGAGCTTTTGACGACCCGTGAGAGGGACGTGCTCAAAGAGGCTGAGCTTTTGGTGACCCGCGAGAGAGCCACGGTCAGAGAGGCTGCCTACTTGAGAGTAGAGACAGAGGTGAAGGCAGCTCGCAAAAGGGTTTCTCGGGCTAAGGTGGATTTGCTATTGGCTCGTGAGAGGGCCGTCATGGCTGAGGCTGATTTATAGAGTGGCCTTGTAGATGTTTTCATTGATAGCTACGACGAGCTTCAAGGAAAGATTTCTGCTGCTTTCTCGGATATTGATCTTTTAGGCCTTGTGTCTTACGAGGTGCCTAATGATGCTGATGATGGTGACTTTGGCAGTGCAGAGGGCGAGGACGAGGAGGATGACGGTCATGAAAGTAGTTAGAGTGCTGGGGAATTTTGATTTTTTTTTTTTTTTGTAGAAAGGAAGTCTGTAGCCTTATTCTTGTAAAAGTGGTTTTTTTTTTTATTTGCCACTGATGTTCTTTTGAAATAGAATGCAAGAATGCCAAGAAATTTTGAAGTCAATTTAGAAAATTTTATTCAATGACTGCTTAGGCTAAGCAATGGTGGGTAACAACCCAAAAAAGGTACAAGAAATAAAATCAAATTCTCCAACTTTACTACTTCAACTCTCCTAAGGTGTCATTGGTTGTACATCTTCAGGTGCTTAGAATTCTATGAATGGGGTAAGATCTTCTCCTCGTAATTCTAGATCTTGTAGGTTTCTAGCCTCACTACTTCTGTTATGAGGTAGGGTCCTTCCTAGTTTGGTCTAAGCTTTCCTTCTCACAGATCCTTCGTAGCGAGAATCACTTTTTTGAGAACTAAGCCTCCTGGTTGGGAGAAACGAGGCTTCACCCTCGAGTTATAGTATCTCGTCATACGGCGCTTATACTCTGCATTCTGGTCCATAGCCATTTCTCTTTCCTCCTCCACCAAGTCGAGGTTGACGCAGAGTCCTTCTTCGTTGGTGATGGGGTCATGGTGTTGGACCCTTAGATAATGTACTCTAATTTTCAGAAGTACGACTACCTCAGTTCCAAAGGCGAGTGAGAAAGGAGTTTCTCCATTCGGAGTCCTTGGTGTCATTCGGTAGGCCCATAATACACTTGGGAGTTCATCCACCCAGAGACCCTTTACTTTTTCCAGCGTCGTTTTAGGTTGCGTAGTATTGTTCTAATTGTGACCTCAACCTACCCATTCGCCTGAGGGTGCACTGGCCTAGAATAGGGCTATTTTATTTGGAGGTCAACCTAGAACGAATTTAGGAGTTTGTTGTCGAATTGCTTGGCATGGGTACTCCAAAGCGGCAGACGAGGTTCTTTTAGATGAAATCCTTGATTTTTACGTCTGTTATCTTTACTATGGGTTCGGCCTCCGCCCACTTTGTGAAGTAGTCAATGGCTACTACCACAAACTTACACTGCCCCTTTCTTACACTGCCCCTTGCTTAGAGGCAAAGGGCCCAAGATGTCGATGCCCCATTTGAAGAAGGTTCATGGACTTGTGATGGCTGTCAGCTCTTTTGGTGGTTGTCTGGGTACAGTGACGAAGCGTTGGCATTTATCGCATTTTTTGGTGAACTCTTGGGCATTCTTCACCATATTAGGCCAGAAATAGCCTTACCTGAGTGCCTTGTGGACGAGGGAGTGTCCTCCAAAGTGATTTCCACAAACTCCTTCACGGATCTCTCGTAAGGCGTAGTTAGCTTCTTTTGGTGNTTTTTTTTTTTATTTGCCACTGATGTTCTTTTGAAATAGAATGCAAGAATGCCAAGAAATTTTGAAGTCAATTTAGAAAATTTTATTCAATGACTGCTTAGGCTAAGCAATGGTGGGTAACAACCCAAAAAAGGTACAAGAAATAAAATCAAATTCTCCAACTTTACTACTTCAACTCTCCTAAGGTGTCATTGGTTGTACATCTTCAGGTGCTTAGAATTCTATGAATGGGGTAAGATCTTCTCCTCGTAATTCTAGATCTTGTAGGTTTCTAGCCTCACTACTTCTGTTATGAGGTAGGGTCCTTCCTAGTTTGGTCTAAGCTTTCCTTCTCACAGATCCTTCGTAGCGAGAATCACTTTTTTGAGAACTAAGCCTCCTGGTTGGGAGAAACGAGGCTTCACCCTCGAGTTATAGTATCTCGTCATACGGCGCTTATACTCTGCATTCTGGTCCATAGCCATTTCTCTTTCCTCCTCCACCAAGTCGAGGTTGACGCAGAGTCCTTCTTCGTTGGTGATGGGGTCATGGTGTTGGACCCTTAGATAATGTACTCTAATTTTCAGAAGTACGACTACCTCAGTTCCAAAGGCGAGTGAGAAAGGAGTTTCTCCATTCGGAGTCCTTGGTGTCATTCGGTAGGCCCATAATACACTTGGGAGTTCATCCACCCAGAGACCCTTTACTTTTTCCAGCGTCGTTTTAGGTTGCGTAGTATTGTTCTAATTGTGACCTCAACCTACCCATTCGCCTGAGGGTGCACTGGCCTAGAATAGGGCTATTTTATTTGGAGGTCAACCTAGAACGAATTTAGGAGTTTGTTGTCGAATTGCTTGGCATGGGTACTCCAAAGCGGCAGACGAGGTTCTTTTAGATGAAATCCTTGATTTTTACGTCTGTTATCTTTACTATGGGTTCGGCCTCCGCCCACTTTGTGAAGTAGTCAATGGCTACTACCACAAACTTACACTGCCCCTTTCTTACACTGCCCCTTGCTTAGAGGCAAAGGGCCCAAGATGTCGATGCCCCATTTGAAGAAGGTTCATGGACTTGTGATGGCTGTCAGCTCTTTTGGTGGTTGTCTGGGTACAGTGACGAAGCGTTGGCATTTATCGCATTTTTTGGTGAACTCTTGGGCATTCTTCACCATATTAGGCCAGAAATAGCCTTACCTGAGTGCCTTGTGGACGAGGGAGTGTCCTCCAAAGTGATTTCCACAAACTCCTTCACGGATCTCTCGTAAGGCGTAGTTAGCTTCTTTTGGTGAAAGGCACCGTAGCAATGGCAAGGAGTAGCATTTCTTGTATAAGATGTCTTGTAGGATAGTAAGTTTGGAGGCTCTCAT